CATGGAAGTTGACAATAATATCCTTCAAATAACTTGCCACTAAATCATGATTTACTCATTGGACAAAACGTTCTCCTCTCAGTTTGTTTTACTCCACCAGGTAAGTCTTTCCCCTCACATACAATTCATTTGGTATCTCTGAGTACTGAAAAATGAAGTAAGTTTTCTGACCAGCACCTTAATTGCACTTCTGCGCTACAACATGATACAAAGCAAATTGCAGACAACTGTTCCAGAATGCCTTTTGTCAAGTCCTGCACCACATGAATACCCAGCCTGACTGTGGAAACAGGTACAGCAGTAACAGTGTTACTTATGCTTGGAGAAACCCACAGTCAGAGAAAGCCAAATATTGCAGAGAATTCTATAGTGAATATGAACATCTCTAATGCAAGCCTTCTCCTTTAGCACAGCAGTAAGTAATCTGGTAGAATAATCTCGTGTTACTATCAAAGGGACATCTTTATTGGTACTCCTGCCACTAGCCTGCCTGGAGAACACAGAAGCACAATTCCTTTCGCTGTTCTTCACCTTCGGAGCTATTGCAGAGACAGATCCAGCAATCAGCAGCACCTCTGCCAAAACAGAGACAAACTAAAATAAACACAATTCAAGAATTTCAGACCTTCACATGCTGTTCTAAGTAAGTTTCACTACACAGCATTCATGCAATTCTGGCCTTTTGGAAAAGTATTATAGCAGGAAGGACACTACACAGAAGTACTACTTGGTTCTAAAAAAACACAGCTGCAAAACAAGCCATTAGAATTTTATTTAGGTTAATGCCCCATCAAAACAATTGACACTTTAGAAGTATAACTCTGCTGATTGAAACAAAACTTGGCTACATTTAGAAGGCTTGCGTTGCCTGTAGAAGGTGAAAAAGTTGCAAGAAGAAGAGGAAAAGAAACTGACTTCACTTCTACAGTACTAGATAATTAAGAAACATTTGAGATGTACAATATGGACAGCATCAACAAGCAGTATTTCATCAGCTGCAATAACAAAGTCATCACAGTGAAACTTTCAGCTATTTGAATAGGAAAAAACAAAGTAGAAAAGTAATTTGTATAGTGTTGAGTACAAATTTAAGTAAGCAGATTTTATATGGATTTTATATACTCTCAATTTGCTGTATCAGAACTTAATTTTGAAGTCCACTATATTCCATGGGTCCACTAAAAGAAAGCAGCAAGCTAAAACTGCTCTTCACGATGTACTATTTTCTTCAGTAACAGCCATTCCTATTACATGTACACACAGAAAAGTATACCTGTAAATGGAAAGAACTTCTCAAGCATCCTGACAGTCACTGGACAGGAGCAGAGCTCAAAGATTCAGACAAACAGGCCTGGCCCTGAAAAGTGAGATGTCTAGGGTAAAGACAAAATGCGGACACACGACAGTTGAACCACTCACTGCCCACAAAACTCAAAGCCTTTATCATCAAGTGGAGTAAAATGCATAAAGAAAACTAAAATAGTAGTGATTCAGCAGAAGCGTAAGTGCGCAATACAGACACTTGGAGTCAGGTGTACATGCGTCACTGGATGGTTTGACATCATTAGAACTGCAGGCAAAGAATCTACTATGCTTCAGAGAAGAAGGAATGTATGAAATAGAAAGCCAGACAGAAAGCAACTGTTCAGTTCACTTGCAAGCTGGGAGCCTGTTTTCTTGTGCAGCCTAGAGTGACTTTGAACATTACTGCCTGAATGCTGCAGCTGATTGGCTAAATGATCAGGTCTCTGAGTCCAAGCCTTCCCACGTTCCACAGCACTACGGGTTCCATCCATAACTGCAATGGTAACTTCTTAGCTGGTCCCTCTATTCCACTTGCTGGTTTAGATATAATTATGAGGAAGGGAATGAATGACACAGCTCCCAGTTATGAGCATCAGTTTTCCCATCACACTCATCAAAAAGCATCTCCTCTGATCAGCTACCTTTGTTACACAAGTGAGCAGAAGAGACAGTCCAGGAGAAAAAAAAAAGAAAAAACCCCCAGCAACAACAACAAAACCACACTCTTCTGGCTATCTGCAAAGAGTAGCTACAAGTGTCACTGAGAGCACTCAATTTCCTTAAGAAAGTATGGACATCTTATGTTTTCTGCTGGTATAGTTTGTTAAGTGAGGTTGCTATGGTCACTATGACAGAACTGCCTAGGAATCTGAGCATACTTGCCTTACAGAAAAGTTTAGGAAAGCTTGCATTTTTAGTATTTGTTCATACAGGATCAGAAAAATGCTTTTATGTTACACAGTGCAAATCAAAGTCTAAAGTCTTCACAAAAAAAGTTATTGAAAAAATGTCTGTAAATGAAAGTTTTGGAGAAGTAAAACTATAAGTTAACTATTTTTTTTGGCTGATTTTAAGCAAAGAATTACCAGTATTATATGTTAACCTTCAGAAAACTATGTGCCATATCTAGAGATTAACATTTGACATTCCAGTTTCCTTTAGTTATTTCTGTGACGTTTTGAACTGCTTTCCAGGTTCTTAAAAATGAGATGTTAACAACACAGCTAAAAATAAATACTGAAATAGCAGAATTATCATGCCAGACAAGCCAGGTTCCCAGAACAACTAGGTATACAAGTATGTGCACCGTTTTAAAAAATATAAATGCTGTAGGCAAATTAGAAAACTTGTCCTAGCAAACATAAGAACATTAAGTGGTGCTTTTCTTCTGGTTGTTTTTTCTGTGGGTTGTATTTCGGGGGAGACAGTGGGTGGGTTGGAGGCTTAGAGGATTTATTTTTTTTTAAATGCAGTTTGTATTGAAAATACACATTCATTTGTCACTATATATCACGTTTCAGCTGGGAAGTTTTGACCATATAACTGTTTATACTGCAAATATTTACCTACCACAAAATGAGTGAAAACCATAAAGACCCTGGTCAGCTTTACAACTCCTGCTTAAAAATATTCAAAGAATGATGAAACTGAAAATAGTCACAGCAAGAAGTGATCTGTATTAACAACAAAAGCTAGTACAAAACTATTTAGAGGAACCAAGCTTAAAAATAGAGGAAATGTGATATAATAGAAACTGCAAGCACACAGCTCAAGAACCTAAAGAGATAGAACTTCACATACTGAATCTGTCTGATACAGAATACAAAAGACCTCTTCTTTTCACGTGCCAGTGTGCCTCAAGAGCAGCACCATGACTTGCAAATGAACACCAAAGTGTAATCATGGATTAGGTATTCTCACAAAGAACATGGCCATGGTCCTCAATGGCCAGTCCTCAGATGCGATGCTCTTTTTTCTAAATACATGCCAGACCTTTTTTCTCCTTTTGGAAAATACAATTCCTAAGAAAGAACTAGAATTTCTGCTACAAATCTGTACATCTTTTAAAAAAATGCATTAGTCCAAAAAGAAAAAAAGTGTTACATGAAGTCATTCTGTAAGCCCTACAAAAACGGGTAAAAAGAAAATTTCTATACAACAGATTAAACATCACAAACTAAATGAGCATTTGGAAACATTCTATGGTACCCTCTCTAGCTCTGAAGGAAGCACAGTCTCTAGTTATTGAGTACTAAGGACTGCCTGACTACAAAGAGAGAGGAAAAACAAGAGTGTAATCTTCTTGACAAAGATCACAGCTTGAAGAATCTTCCAACTTCAACAAGGACAATAATCCAATTTAGTTTCAAAGTATCACATTAAAAACTGTCAATCATTATGAAATCTTTCCTTTCTTTAATACCAATAGAACTTCCAATCTCAATATCCTACTTAATTGCATAACATAACAAACAACAAATTAATTGGCAGTAAGTCTAGTGACAGGTTCACTAGACCATCCCATCATCTTTGCACAGTTTTCTCCTTCGTAGTCAGTTTTCAGTCACCGCTCAGCTTACAAAAACAGGAAGAAAAGGGTCACAGTGATTGCCTTAGGATTAAGGAAGAAAAAACCCTAACTTCAAAAATCTCAAAAGAGTACAAGACTACCTAGAATTATAGTGTGCATAGAGTCCACATGGATATCTTTACCAGGTTTTAACTATGTTTCCAGATACTAGCACACAGTTCTTTCTGCGGACAGGAATGTTGGCAAAAGAGGGAAGCAGCAGCTAGTTAACAAATCCATCCACTTGGATTCATTAAATTGTCTACCTGTAATAGCATTTAATAGTCTTTCAGCCAAAAAAACCCCTCACTAATAATAATAGCAATAGTACATAGACACACACACATTTGAGAGCATCCATTTCTCCCTCTCCCCCATCAAGTTTTTCATTTTGCTTGATGTGTCATTTTTCTTCTTTCCATGAACACTGAATAATAGCTGGGTCTCTCATTATCGCCCCATCAAAGTCCCACTCTGTAACTCCTGATCCTCGCCAAACCCAAGGCTGGACTAATGCACCGGGTGGAGATAACAGAACACAATGAAAGCCAGCAGCAGTAAACGCCGCCGCTGCTGCCGCACAACTTGCTGATGATATTGCTGCTGACAACCTCGGTGCATGTGGGCAGGACGCAACCAACACGCCCATACAGCCTGCCCCGCCCGCAGCCAACAGGGAGCAGTCGTCATTGATACCGTACGGGCCACGGAAGCAATTTTTCTGTTTGTGCCACACACCATAAGGACCAGAAAGCAGCAATGGTTGCACAACGAGGGAGGTTTCGGAGAAGGTTGAATGGCCCGCACGCACCCCGAAGTCAACGCTCATCGGGGGAGAAAGACAATAAAACCCGCCCTTCCAAGCCACCTCTACCCAAGGAACTAAGGCGGGGGAAGGATATTAAGCCACCTATGATGAGGAGAGTAGCTAAAGCATCTCTGGGTACCGCATACCCAAAATGAAGCAGAAACACGCAAGGGAAGCGGCGAGAGGGTTAAGCCAGCACCTTGCCACCATCACAGCCCTCCCCGCCCCGGGCACTACACGCCCCAGGAGAGGGCTGAGGAGCAGGCCTGCGTGCGGCCGGGAGGGAGAGGGGAGAGGGGAGTGGGACGCTTTCCTCACCCAGCAGAAGGACGTTCTTCCCCGAAGGTAGCTTAGACCGGGAGCGCGTGGACACCTCGCTGAGGATGCAGGACCTGGCGCGGAGAGACGACAACGCTTAGGAGGGGAAGGAGGGGGGAGGTTCCCGCTTCCTCCCGGCCCCCCACCCTCGCCACCTCCCGGGGCGGGGGAAAGCGTGGGGGACGGGGTAAGGCAGGGGTTCCCACC